GGCAGGAGGACTGCAAGTTCAAGGCTGACCTCAGACTCTTTTAAGACTTTGTCTCTAAATAAAAAATGAAAAGGACTGGGGATGTAGCTCCGTGGTAGAGTGCCCCTGGGTCCACTCCCCAGGTCCACAAACAAAATCCAACAGAACCAATCAATAGGAGATGAAGCCTCTGGAGGGATCAGCTCATGAGGCTCCATTTACAAGGGATTTGTGCCCTTGTACGAGAGATTGAGGGGACTTGTTTGCCCTTCAGCCCCACAGAAGACGTTCCCCAAACATTACACCTGCTATCGCCTGAGTCTGTGCTTCCTGGCCTTCAGAACTGTCAGCAATAAATTTGTTGTTTATAATTACGCAGTTTTTTTTTCTGATACCTGGGTTGAGCCTAGGGGTGCTTACCCACTGAGCCTCAGCCCCAGCTTTTTAATATTTAGAGACAGGGTCTCCCTGAGTGGCTTAGGGCCTTGCTAAATGACTGAGGCTGGCTTTGAACTTGAGATCCTCCTGCCTCAGCCTCCCAAGCCGCTGGGATTATAGCTCGCACCACAGCGCCCAGCCTAAGGTATTTTCTTATAGCAGCCAGAATGGACTCATTCAACCACCAAAGCCTTGCCAAGATCTCAAACATGAGGTATTTATAATGATTAAAATAGTAGAGAACAATTCCTGTTAAAGAATTTTTTTAGTTGTAAATGGACACAATACCTTTATTTATTTTTTATTTTTATTTTTTTAAGAGAGAATTTTTAAATATTTATGTTTTAGTTTTCGGTAGACACAACTTTTACTTTTATGTGTTGCTGAGGATCAAACCCAGTGCCTCATGCATGCTAGTGCTCTACCACTGAGCCCCAGCCCCAGCCCCAGTAGAGAACAATTTTGATGCAATACGTCATAAAACAAAACGGAGAAACCATCAAACTGAGCAGGAGCAGGTTTTTCGTGCTGGTTTCAGGGGAACTTCAGATTTAACCAGAGGATTAATAAAGGGAAGAACCGACAGAGAGTCCAAAGACAAGGTCTGTACCTCCCCAAGCACTACCAGCCTGGTTTTAATGTTGTCTAGTTAGGGCTCTGCTATGGTTTGAATATGGTCCCCAAAAACCTGCACTGGAAACTTAACCTCCAGTGCAACAGTGTTGGGAGGTGTTTAGCTCATGGGGCTTGTGAATGAATTAGTATCAATTATTAAAGGGTTTGAGACCCCAACTTCATCTTTTTTGCATTCTCTCTCCCCCCTCTCCCTCTTGACTTCTACCATGGGGTGATGTAGCAAGAAGGCCTTCCACAGATGCCAGCACCCTGACATTAGACTCCCCCAAGTTCCAGAACTGTGAGAAATACATTTTTTTTTCTTGGTAAATCACCCAACCTCTGGCAATCTGTTATAGCAGCACTGAACAGACTGAGACAGGCTCTACCTGTAGCACTGCTCTTAGTTCACCTGCTCTCTTCAAGGCTTCTTGTGGGAAGGGAAACTTGCAGAAACAGGTGGACATCCAGGCCTTTGCCTCACTCACGTCCAGAGTCTTAGTGTCTGGGACAGCAGGCCACACGCTGGTTAGGCTCTGGCCCTCTTCATCAGCTTGTCCTGAGCCCTGTAGTAGCCCATAGGTTCAGTGCTCCCAACCCTCCAACCTCCATCCTCCACAACCTTTGCCTGGTGTGGCCTCCTCCAGGAAGCTCTCCATGGTCTTTCCCAAGCAAGGTTGTGTGCTCTGTCGGCACAATGTCCTGCTCTGGTGGCAATGCTCTAGGGAGGAAGGCAGTTTTCAGGCACCTGGGGAAGGGGAAATGCAGTGTCCAGTCAAGCCTGCTCTGGATTATTTTTATTATTATTATTAATTTTTTTTAGAAAGAGAGAGAATTTTTAATATTTATATTTTAGTTCTCGGCAGACACAACATCTTTGTTTGTATGTGGTGCTGAGGATCGAACCCGGGCCGCACGCATGCCAGGCGAGCGCGCTACCGCTTGAGCCACATCCCCAGCCCCCTGCTCTGGATTATTAAAACAGGAGGGGCCTCTTTTCTGCTGTGAGGCAGCCACTGGGGTCTTTCTATCAGAATGGATCAGTTCATGAGCCCTGGAGCCGGACACTCTGGGTTGAACTCCCTGCTCTGTGTAGCAGGAGGCAGGAGGATTGCAAATTGAAGGCCAGCCTCCACAACTTAGTGAGACCTTGCCTCAAAATAAAAAGGGCTGAGGGTGTATGGGGGTGTCCCTCAGTGGTAGAGCGTCCTTTGGGTTCAATTTGGGTTTAGTGCCCAGCACCACACCCTCCCCTCCACTCAGAGACAAACACAAAAGAAGAAGAGGAAGAGAGAGATTGGGCAGCTGCCTGCAGTCTCTGAGATGTCAGGATGCGGCCAGAAGGCCTCACCAGACGCCAAGCAGATGCAGGTGCTCTTCCAGCCTCCAAACCACCAGCCAGCTACCTCTGTTCCTTATTAATAACTCAGTCTCAGGCATTTTGTTAGAGCAACAGAAGGTGGACTAACCCACCTCCTAGGGATGCTGTGATCACAGGAATTGCAGACTTACACTTACTACCAGGACTATTTTTCTGAAGTGGTGGAATTGAGCCCAGGGCCCCATGCATGTTTGATAAGTCCCCTACCACTAAGTTACACCCCAACACCTTACGATTACTATTTATTTATCTTTGAATCCCTGGACTCTCAGATGAGGTCAAGTTTGAATTGCACACTTCCATGTTGCATGCATATGTTCCCTTCTTAGCCCTTTATGATAATAACAAAGTCTTTTAATAATAACATAATAATTATTATTTGCTATTATTTATTAACTAATAACAATAATTATTATTTATTATTATTATTTTGTGGCACTGATTGAACCCAGGGTGCTGTGCAACTGAGATACATCCCCATCCCTTTTAATTTTATATAGGGCAGGCTCTCACTAAGTTGCCCAGGCTGGCCTTGAACTTGTGATCCTCCTGCCTTAGCCTCCCCAGTAGCTGGGATGAAAGGTATGCAGCCCACGCCCAGCTTCCTTCTTACCCCTTCTGTGATCTACCCTTACACATTCGTCCACGGGATGACGAGAGTCTCTCCCTTTCTGAGCTCCTTGTGCCCTGCAGGGGCCTGGCCTGTTTGCCCACCACTGAATGCCCAGGTGCTGACCAGATGGGCTCATGGGATCAACAGTTTTTTTGTTTTTGTTTTTTTTTTTCCCCAGGAAATGGTCAGAGGTTGAAGCAAAAGGATTGCAAATTCAAGGCCAGCCTGGGCAATTTAGTGAGATCCTATCTCAAAATAAAAAAGTAAAAGGGCCAGTGGGTGTGGCTCACTGGTAGAGCATCCCCGGCTTCAATCCCTAATGCTGAAAGAGAGAGAGAGAGAGAGAGAGAGAGAGAGAGAGAGAGAGAGATATTAATAAATTTCTTGGTATTATGGAGCAAAAGAAGGGGTCATAGAAGTTCTGGGACAAACAGTAAGATCTAAAAATAAACCACTTTTGCAATGGATGTCCCGGAGGAGGCAGGGAGTGGTCAGACTTCTCCTTCCTACGTTCCCTAATGCAGAAGAGCTCAACAGAGAGGCTGGAAGTTGCCTCTTCACTTTCCTCCACCTGCAGGGTGTCCAGGACTGCAGGGGGCCTGGGGATATAGCTGGGAGCCTTCGGTGCATGGGTTGGGCCCGCCTTGGTTCTCCACTTGTACATGCTGAGGCCTAGGAGCCTGGCGGTGAGCCAGCCCTGTCCAACCCACCAGGCCTCCCTGCTCTGTTCCCCAACATGCTGTGCTCAGAGCCTTTGTGTTTGCTGTTCCCTCTGCCTAGAATGTTTTTCCCTCAGTCTGACTCCTTATCATTTAGGTCCCAGCTCAACTCCCTAGAGAGATCTTCCCTGAAGTCCCCACCCTCAATCCTCCAACCCCCTGAGTCACTTTCTACCCATGACTCGGCTTTTTAAATATCTGAAATGTCATAAGAAATAATGCTTTTTTTTGGAGGGGGGTCCGTCTCCCCACATTACCTGTAAGCTCCATGATGACAGGGACTGTGTCTTATCACTGCTGATCTCCCAGTTCCCAGAATAATCCTAGTCTGTGAAGGGAGGCAGTATTTGTTGGGCTGACTGCCAGATGGGGTAAGAATTTGTTCTCTAGAGCTATGCTTCTGATATGGTAGCCACTCTATCTTGAAAGTTAATTTAAATCAAAAGTAAAGCTCCAATTCTTTGGTCACATTGGCCACCTTTCCAGTACACAACGCCCATACTGGCTAGTGGCTTCCTTGTGGACATCACAGGCACAGACCATTTCTACCAGAAGGTGGTGTGGGATGTGTTCCACTCTCCTGCTGGTACCCTCTGCGCATGCCATTTTCTCTGCCTGGAAAACCTTACGTGTCCCCTACCTCGAGCCTGGCACAGTGGTGCCTGCCTCTAATCCCAGTAGCTCTGGAGGCTGAGGCAGGAGGATCGCAAGTTCAAAGCCAACCTCAGCAACTTAGTGAGAGCCAGTGCCTGGGGATCCCCCGCCGTTTGAGGGTTCCTGTGTGTCGGTGGGGACGCGGAGAAGATGCAGCACCAAGGAGTAGAGCAAGGCCAGGGGTGTTTCACGACCCTCCTCGGGCGGGCGACTGTGCTTAGTGGGATCCAGAAGGATTCTGAGCGCCAAGGTCCCCGCCCCTCTATGTCTGCTACCCTGAGACTCAAGAGCAGTGTCCAGGTTCATCCTGCTTCCCGCGCCAACTCTAAGAGTCGCTAGGCTTCTATTTTCTCATCTGCGAAATGGGATAACAATGCGCCCGGCATCTAGGAGGAAAGACTGAGACTGGCTCCACTCGTGGGGTCGAAGGCACCAGGCGCGGGCCAGGGGGAGTCCCTGCTGGCCCAGCGGCGCCGGGAGCGCCCCGTTTATTCCCACAAAAGCCGCAGCTGGGCCGACGCTCCCGCCCGGGGAGGGACCAGCCCACGTCCCCGAGGGGCCCCGCCGCGACGCCCCCGTTTCCTGCTGGGTGCCCGCCAGCCTAGGGCGCCCAGCCCGCCCCCGAGCCCGCGGCGTCCCCCGGGTCCGGCGAGCGGAAGGGGCTGGGCCTGTGGGAGGAGCGCAAGGGCGGTGAGGGCGGGCGGTTCGCCGCGAAAGGGCCGAAGTACTCGGCGGCGAAGGTGACCACGTCCTGGGGCTGGCGCAGCAGCAGGAAGAGCAGGAAGTCGGAGACGAGCGCCTGCGCCTCGGGGTGCTGCCGCAGGTAGCTGGCGTGGCTCAGGCGCAGCTCCTCCTGGCGGGGAGGCCCGGGTCGGAGCCGGGACCGCGCCGGGAGCCCCCACCCGCTCCCAGCAGGGCCCCCAGGGTGTGCGGTTCAGAGCCGGGAGGGGGCAGGGGGAAAGGAGGGAGGGACAGGGAGATCGGTCATGGGGGGTTCATGGCCCGGGGGGGGGGTACCCCAGACTGGCCGCTGCCGCTCCTTACCTTCCGCTCCAGGAACTTAGAGTAGAGCTCCAGGTCCTCCTGCCACTCCAGGGGTTTCTTCTCAAACACAGGCTTTGGCTCTACGACATCTGGACCGGGAGGAGGAAGGCTGCTTACCCCCACCCCAACCTTTCTGGATACCCAGAGGATTCCCGCTGTCAAATGGAAAGCTGAGGACCAACCTCGGATTCTGCCCACAGGGCAGAGTTGCTGCAAGGGGTTCCTAGCAAAAGAGGCCCGCCCCTAACTGCCTTGGGGTCAGGGGCAGGAGGACAGAGTTTCTCCTTTGGATTCCAGGCTCGGTCCCATCCCACGTGGAGTGTGCTGGCCAAACCCTGCAGACCCTGGTTTCCTTCCCCTTTCCTCCCCTCTCCCACCAGCTGCCTTGGGCCTGGGCTCTACTTACCCTCCTTCCTCAAGATGGGCATCTTGGTGATGATGCAGTACCCAGGGGAGCCCACCTGGATCCTCTTAGCCAGGTGCCTGGAAGGCAACACAGAAGAAGTGGAGTGGGCCTTCCTGGACCACCTGCTGGGGACAGGAAGGAACTAAGCAAAATGTGTTGTAGTTCTGAGCCCCAGTGTGATGGTATTTAGAGAGAGGGCTTTTAGGGAGGTCATATGGTTAAGTAAGGTCTCAAGGGGGTCCCTAATCCCATAGAATTGACATCCTTATAAGAACAAGAAGGGACACGGGAGAGTTCTATTCATCCACACACGGAAGAAAGGCCCATGAAGACACAGCCAGAAGGCAGGTATCTACAAGCCAGGAAGGGAGTCTTCACCAGAAACCAATTTCTGGCATGGTGACCTTGGACTTCAGCCTTCACAATTGTGAGGAAATAAATTCCTCTTGCTTAAGTCCACCAGCCTGTGGCACTTTGTTATGGCAGCCTGAGCTAGCTAAGAAACCACAATGCCCCCTTGAGAATGCTCCTCGTTCTATTTAATTCTACCTTCTCTCTTATCTTTTGAGTTCCCTGTTCCAAATAATTGCCCAGGGCTTGGAAGGGTCAGGTGCCTGTTTTTAAAAAAAATAAGTAAATGGAGCCCACCCAGGGATGCCCATAAATAAATAAATAAATAAAAATAAATAAAAAATAAGTAAATGGAAAAGCCAAGTGCTGTGGTGCATGCCTGTAATCCCAGCTACTTGGGATGCTGAGGCAAGAGGATCACAAGTTTGAGTCAACCTGGGCAACTTAATGAGACTCTGTCTCAAAATAAAAGGGTTGGGGATGTAGCTCAGAAGTAGAGCAATCCCTGGGATTAAAAAAAGAAAAAGTCAATAAGAAAAGACTTAGACTTTCAAAGGTATAAGCACAAAACAAAACAAAAAACACCTCCTCCTTCATAGGTGACACATACAAAGAAACATACGAAAAGTTATGAACTAAGGAAAGCCAAACATATTGGTCACTTTTTTTCAGTGAAGTTTCTAGATCAATACTTCTGAAATTTCAAGAAATTATTCTCCCCCACATGAGTTTTTCTCAGGGTCAGTGTTCTGCTGGTGACCACTTGGTGGTATGCCAAGGGTGCTCCAGCACCGATTCAATCGAGTGTCCAGTTCAAACCCTGGTGTCCTCAATATTCCCCTCGTCCACGGCCACTGCCTTAGCTGGTAGGCTCTGCGGGGTTGGCATTTCCTTCCTCAGCCAGTTGGGGTTCTTTGTGGGAAGTTCTGGGAGGCACTGTGAGCATCGGAGAAGGAGCCCATGAATGAAGAAAGGGCGAGTGGCGTGGAGGGGACACTGGGATCTCAATGACAACTCTTACTGGAGGTGTCCCCAGGAATAGGTAGTCTCTCCTTTGCTCCATCCCCAGCCCATGTCCCTTCCCCATCATTGAGCACCAGACTTGTCTATGACACTGTCCACCCCTGAGAAGGCTCACCCATCACAGAGCATGTAGAACTGCCAGGACATGGGGATACCCTCGTTCGAGTGCACGGTGTGCTCCACAATGAACACCTCGGACTGCTGGTGGCCCACCTGGATGTTCTGGAAGCCCAGGGCTCGCTGCAGCAGCCAAAACGAAGGGAGGGTGGTGAGGTGGGTGCCACCAGGGTCTCCCCGATCTCAGCCTGATCCTTCCTCCTCCTCCTCCTCTTTTCCTTGTTCACCAGTGATTAGCAACTATTGGCTGTCCACACCGTCAGGTGCCACAAGATTTGAGTTGTAACCCCCAGGTAACTTGGGCCTTCTCCCAGAGAACCAGCTTCAGCTGGCCCCTGGCCCCTGCCATGCCATCTTTGTGGCCAAGTGTTGTGATTGGCAGATTCTGTTATAGGGAGGAGGGTCAGTCAGTATGGGGAAGGTGAGGAGGAGGTGCAAGCTTTGGGGGCCAATTGGGGGAAGTAGCAAGGCTGTGAGGAGAGAGGCTGGACAGATCTGTGATGGCCTCAGGCCACGCAGCTGCTGGCAGCCTGCCTTAACGTAGTTGAAATTAAACCAATGTAGCTGCTGCCATGGAGAGACGAGCTCTAACATTAAACAGGTGTTTCAAAGAAAATGGGGGGTTGTGGCATGCGCTTGCTTGTGTGTTTGTGATGGACAAGACAGAAGGTAACTTAGGAGGTCAGTCAAAGACAGGCAGATCCACCCCCAAAGTGTCTTGCTGGAACTAGTGTGTGTTCAGAGGGCAGCTGTAAAAGCATGTAGTGCAGGAGGTCCCAGGTGTGTTGTGAACTTCTAGCCAAAATAAAAGAAAAAAAAAGGAACACTCTCACTTAATATTTAAGTAAGTGGGGAAAAACTGCATTTCTCCAAGTTAAAAAATGGTGTGTCTTTGGGTTGGGGGTGCAGGGAAGTGCTTGTCTAGCATGTGCGGGGCCCTGGATGACATGTCTTTAAAAGCATCCCTCTGCTGTACTGACTTTTGAAGACTGGCTTTTATGCAAAAGGTTGTTTTGCTCAACTGCTCCCACTTTTTGTAGAACTCATTTCACCTGCCCCCCTCCACTTGATCTTGTTTTTGTTTGTTTGTTTGTTTGGTATCAGGGATTTGAACTCAAGGTGCTTTATCATTGAGCCACATCCCCAGCCCTTTTTATTTTTTTGTCTTTGAGACAGGATCTTGCTAAATTGCTCAGGGCCTCACTGAGTTGCTGAGGCTGGTTTTGGATTTGTGAGCCTCCTGTCTGAGCCTCCTGTCTCAGCCTCCTGAGCCGCTGGGATTACAGGCGTGTGCCACCGCACCTGACATCAGTTCTTGCTTTCTCTTGCCCTCAGATATCTCATTCCCACCCTCCTGATTTATCCCCACCCCAACTCTCTCTCCACTCCACAGCTATCCTGCATCCCAGCCCAGCATCCCTCATGTCCCTTCTAGTTTGTCCCCAGGCCAAATCCCTTGCCCTCACATAGGTGGAGTTGCAGAGTTTGCCCTCAGTGTCCAAGGCCAGGAAGCGGGCGTTTTGAGGGACCTTCTGCCTTCGAGCCATCAACCTCAACAGCACCAGGTTGGCAGCTTCGGAGATGAAGCCAGTAATTGAGTGCGAGGGGAAGAAGGCCACACCAGTCTTCACTTCCTGCTCAGGACAGATCTGGGTCAAGAACTGCCAGCCAGGAAGGGGATGGCAGGGTGGGCAAAGCAGTTATGGGTGTGGGTCCTTGGGGTGTCCTCTGTCTAGACTCCTGGCCGCACGCCACCAGCTCAGTGCTTGTGGTTCTGAGGAGGAGGTGAAGGGTGGTGCCCACCTGGCTCTCACCCTTACCTCACCCTCCTTGATGCTTCTGGTCATGGCCAGCTGGTCATTCTGCTTCAGCAAACTCATCTTGTGTTCCATGGGGAGGATGAGGAACTAAGGGCCAGAACATGTGATGGAGAATCAGAGACTCCTTGGTCCCCAGAGGTCACCTGTCTATTCTCCTTTATAAATGAGAAAACTGAGATTTAAAGGTTTTGATTTAAAATACAACCAACCAGAAAATCCTTCTATATATGGCCAAGCTCATGAACAGCAGCCAGAGGATGGTGTGATACTAGCTAAAAAGCAGGGCGCCTCAGAACACAGGTTTAAAACATGGGAACGACTCTGTGGAAATGCTCTAGGTATGAGTGGTTTCCACTGTGTAGACAGTCATGGCAGGTTCTAGAAGTTCGTGAGGGGGCCGAAGCCGGGGGGTGAGGAGCACAGAGCCAGAGGGTTTGGAGGCCACATGGTGACAGATCCTAGGGACCAGCTAGGCCCTGGGAAAGGCCAGCCCCCATGATCCTCCAGGAGATGCTGGGCTCTCAGGCTAGAGGAGGACCAAGTGGGGCTGGGTTCAGTTGTGCATCAGGAGGAAAAACTGTGTGTGTGTGGCGGGGGCGGTGGGGACAGGGTGAGGGAGATCCCTCCTTCCCTCAGATTCTCTGTTCTCTCATTGTCAGTCAGGGCATGACACAGGACCCCAGGAAGTACCTTGATGAACTCTCGACTATGTTGTTCCATGGTCTCCAAAGTCTGGGAGAGATAGCCTAGGGTGCAGGGACAAACTTTCATGTCACAGGAGTCATGGGCCCAAGATGGAAGGAAGGGAAGGAGGGTGGGCCCAGGCTGGAGGACTAGGTGTGATGTGGCCACAGGAAAACTATGGGGTGGGTCAGTGCTGCTCCTGTGTCTGTGAATAACCGCCCAGTGGCGCCTCCCCCATGTCTCATCAAGAGATAGGTCCTGAAGAAAGAGGCTGGGAATGGAAGGGGTGGCAGGGTGGGAAGGATGTGGTGACATCAGCAGCGGGAATCCTACCCAGGAGCGAGTTTCCACAGACGGTTTTATCCAGGAGGCCATGGCTAAAGGCGTGCACGAGGACGCACTGGGACATGATGCTCATTTCGTCCTTGTATTTCCCTCTCTGCACCTCGATGGTCAGTTCTCCCCGAGGCTCCCCGGTGTCGGAGACCATGGCCAGAGTCTCAGAGAAGAAGAGCATCGGCAGCTCCTCGGGCTCTTGGGTGGGGCGGCGGGTGGGGACTGGTCAGCCCTGGAGTCCTCGAAGCTTGTCCCGCCTCCCCCCTGCCGTCCGCAGGAGCCCGGGTGAAGACCCCTCTCCCCCTCGCATCCCTCCAACGTCAGCCAACAGGCCTTGCGCCCATTTTAGTTCTAGGAGAAGGGAGCTGACAGGGGTGGGGACCGTCCGGGCCTGTCCCCTTGCCTCCTCCCAGACTCGGTCCCCTCCCCCCTGTCTGGGCTCACGGAGGGAGTTGAGGAAGTCGATGGCTTCAGCGTTGGCCTCTGGGAGAGGCTGACGCTCCTGGCCTGAGGGCCGGTGGTCCTTGCCTTTGGGGACTGCGGGGGAGAGGCTAAGATGGGGAGAAGGGCGGGGCGGGCAGGAGTCCCCCAGTCCCGGCCTCTGTCCCCAAGAACTGAGTCCACCAGGACGACCCTGGAGGGGGTTGTAAGGGAAAAGAGCCCCCACCCGCTTCCACCCAGCCGCCCTCGTCCCACCTGAGGACTGAACTTTGGAAGACATGCTGTCTGCAGCCGGCGGGGCTGTGTCCAGCCGTCTCCCTGGCAACCGGACTAGCTGCCGCCTCTTAAAGGGCCCCTTCACTACACCTTGACCTTGGAGGAAAAGTCTGACCACGCAGGCTCTGGTGCTCAGCCCAAGCCTGAAGCCTTGTCCAGCAGGGGGAGCATTTGACATTCTTAAGAGGCAGGGGAAGAAATGGCCCATTAAAGAACTTCAGAAGTTGTGACCGTGGGCCAGGAGTCTCACAACCACAGAACCCAATTCCATGTTGCCTGAAGAGCTCTGCAAGTTGTAGTCCTAATACGATGGCCCCCAGCTTATGATGCCTCATTTTATCAGGTTTTTCTTTTATTAATTAATAATTATTCTTTTATTAATTAAAAATAACAATTATTATTATTATTATTTTTTAGAGAGAGGAGAGAAAGAATTTTATTTTATTTATTTATTTATTTTTAAAGAGAGAGGAGAGAGAGAGAGAGAGAGAGAGAGAATTTTCAATATTTATTTTCTAGTTCTTGGCGCACACAACATTCTTGTTGGTATGTGGTGCTGAGGATCGAACCTGGGCCACATGCATGCCAGGCGAGCACCGCTTGAGCCACATCCCCAGCCCTATTATTATTATTTATATCAACTCACGGGCACTTAACCACTCAGCCACATCCCCAGCATTTTTTTTTTTTTTTTGAGACAGGGTCTCCCTAGTTGCTGAGGCTGACTTTGAACTTGTGATCCTCCTGCCTAATCCTCCTGAGCCACTGGTTTCCAGGTGTGCACCACCACACCTGGCCCAGGTTTGACTTTACATACAAAGAGGTGAAACCATTTGCCTTCAGTAGAAAACATACTTTGAATTTTGAGTGTGATTTCCTGGGCTAGTGATAGGCCATAAGATCCTTTCTCTGGGGCTGGGGATGTGGCTCAAGCGGTAGCGCGCTTGCCTGGCATGCGTGCGGCCTGGGTTCGATCCTCAGCACCACATACAAACAAAGATGTTGTATCCGCCGAGAACTAAAAAATAAATATTAAAAATTCTCTCTCTCTCTCCCTCTCTCTTTAAAAAATAATAATGATGATCTAAAATTAAAAAAAAAAAAAAAAGATCCTTTCTCTGGATGCTGGGCAGTGTCAGCGAGCCCTGGCTCCCAGTCAGCCCCTGGATCATGAGAGGGAACAAGGATACTCCACAGAAGACTGCATTGCTAAACTATGTTTTTTTTTCCTTCTTTCTTCCTTCTTTTTTTTTTTTTTTGGTACTGGGGATTGAATCTATGGGCCCTCTATTTCTGAGCTATATCTCCAAACCAGCTTTATTTTAGTTTTAAGAGAGGGTGTTGCTAAATTGCTGCAGCTGGCCTTAAACTTGCCATCCTCCTGCCTCAGGCTCCCAAATCAGTGGAATTACAGAGGCAATTCAAGGGGCTCCTGATAGGTGTAGTGGAGCATGCCTGTAATCCCAGTGAATCAGGAGGTTGAGGAAGGAGGATGGCAAGTTCAAGGCCAGCCTGACCAATTTAGTGATACTCTGACTCAAAACAAAACATAAGAAAAGGAGTCGGGGGGCGTTGAGGATATAGCTGAGTGAAAGAGTGCTTACCTAGCATGCACAAGACCCTGGGTTCAATCCCCAGTACCACAAAAACAAAAATAGAAACAAAACAGAGAGTGGAGCTAAGAACATGTAGCTCAGTGGTGGAGTGCCCCTAGGTTCAGTCCTCAGTACTGCAAAAATAAAAAATAAATAAAAAGAAAATTAAGGGGCTGGAGTTGTGGCTTAGCAGTAGAGTGCTCGCCTAGCAGGCAGGAGGCACTGGGTTTGACCCTCAGCACCACATAAAAATAAATAAGTAAAATAAAGATATTGGGTCCAACTATAACTAAAAAAAGTATGTATATAAAAAGAAAATTAATAAATATATACTTCAATTGAATAATTGATTTAGACTTGGACTTTTATTTAAAGTCTTACTGAGATTGTAAAAGGACCAAACATTATAAGATTAAAAAGAGCTGGAGAGTGTGGCACATACCACACTGGATCATAGATCCAGTGTGATCCCCAGCAACTGGGGAGACTGAGGCAAAGGATCACAAGTTCAAGGCAAGCCTATTTTATTGTACTGAGGATTGAACCCACTGAGCCACGTCCCCAGCCCTTTCTATTTTTAATTTTGAGACAGGATCTCACTAAGTTGCTTCAGGACTCACTAAATTGCTGAGGCTGTTTTTGAACTCTCCATCCTCCTTCCTCAGCCTACCAAGCTGCTGAGATTGTAGGTGTGTGCCACCTCACCCGGCCTCGGTAATTTAACAAGACCCTGTCTCAAAAATAAAAAGTAGGGTCTGTCTCAAAAATAAAAAGTAGGTGGTGTACACCTGTAATCCCAGAAACTGAGGAGGCTGAGGCAGGAGGATTGAAAGTTTTAGACCAGCTTCAGCAATTTAGTGAGGTCCTAAGCAATTTAGCCAGACCCTGTCTCAAAATAAAAAATAAAAATCACCAAGAATATGGCTCAGTAATAAAGCAATCCTGGTTTTAATCTCTGGTAACAAAGAAAAAATAAAAATTATTAACATTTGCCAGACTTATAGTTAGAACAATATGACTGCTAAGTTTAAAAGTTTAAAAAATACTTATGTTTTTTTAATTTGCATTTTAAGAAGCTGAGTATTTTTATTTGTAGTATTAATTATTTTTGGTGGTGCTGGGAATCAAATCCAGACCCTTGAATATACTAGGAAAGTGGTCTATCACTGAGCGACACCCCCAACCCTGAGTATAAATTTTTTTTTAAATTTTTTTCTTAATATTTATTTTTTAGTTCTCGGCGGACACAACATCTTTGTTTGTATGTGGTGCTGAGGATCGAACCCTGGCCACATGCATGCCAGGCGAGCGCGCTACCGCTGAGCCACATCTCCAGCCCCCACTGAGTATAAATTTTTAAAAGCCAAAGGAAAAAAAAAATTGTGTATGATACTGAGGATTGAACCCGTGGATGTTCATACCACTGAACTACATCTCCAATCCTTTTTCTTTTTCACTGAGACAGGGTCTCCTAAATTGCTGAGGCTCACCTTAAACTTGTAATCCTCCTGCCTCAGCCAACTGAGTGGCTGGGATTATAGGCGTGTACTGCTACACCCAGTACCAAAGTGAATTTTGAATAACTCTCCTCACATAAGGCAAGGTCAGTGATTTTAAGGGAACTTATAGCTGCTTTGGAAAGCAGTCTGGCAGTTCCTCAAAAAGTCAGCAATTCTACTTCTAAGTATATCACCAAGAGAACTGAAAACATTTTCGATAGAAAAATTTGTACATCACCAGGCATGGTGGCACACGCCTTCAATCCCAGAAGCTTGGGAGGCAGGAGGATCACAGGTTCAAAGCAACTTAGCAAGACCTTATCTTAAAAAAAAAAAAAAAAAAAAAAAATTAAAAGGGCTGGGGATGTGGCTCAGGAGTTAAGCACCCCTGGGTTCAATCCCTGGTAACAAAACATTAAACAAAACAAAACAAAACAAAAACATGCCCATGAATGTTTATGACATTGTTCCTAATGGACCATCCTATTGGACCAAAAGTAGAAACAACCCAACTCCCCTTCAACTGTGGAATGGATAAAAATGGATAAACTGTCAAATGGATGTATATGTTAAATGCATACCCACATTAAAAAATGTTGTTTGGCTATACAAAGGAATGAAGTACTGCTTTTTTTTTTTTTTTAAGAGAGAGTGAGAGAGGGGAGAGAGAGAGAGAGAGAGAGAGAGAGAGAGAGAATTTTTTAATATTTATTTTTTTTTAGTTCTCGGCGGACACAACATCTTTGTTGGTATGTGGTGCTGAGGATCGAACCCGGGTCTCACGCATGCCAGGCGAGTGCGCTACCGCTTGAGCCACATCCCCAGCCCCAAGTACTGCTTTTAATTTTATTTTCCTTTTTTGTTTCTTTGAGATGTTATGCAGGCTGGCCCACAAGGCTCAATGTGCCTCAGCCTCATGTGGCTAGAATCACAGTACTGCTAAATGAGGTAACATGGATGAACCTTGAAAACACGTGGGACAGAAGAGGCCAGGAAAGTGCACAGATTGTCTGATTCCATATATCAACTGCCTAGAAGGCAAATCTGTAGAGACAGACAGTAGTCAGTAGTTCCGTAGCGCTGGGTCTTGGTGGGGTGTGGAAACTGAGCAGGATGTCAAATGGGGACAGGGTTTCTTTTTGGAATAAGGAAAATGTTGTAAAAAAGATTATGGTGATGATCACAGACTCTATATATACTAAAACCCACTGAATTATATACTTAAAAAGGTGAATTTTCTGTTACGTGAATATCTCAGTAAAGCTGACAATTAAAAAATAGGATTTAAATTTTTCCCCTCTATAATTAATCATAGCACCAGAAATCTGATGTAGCATTATTTCAGAGTGACTTCATATGCCTCTCCCCATCTGATCCTCATAATAGCCTCTGATAAGTGGCACGATTTTTTTTTTTTGAAGGTGGGTACTGGGTATTGAACCCAGGTGTACTTTACTACTGAGTTCCATCCCCAAGCACTTTTAATTTTTTTTTTTTTTTTAAATTTTGAGACAGGGTCTTACTAAGTTGCTCAGGGCCTTGCTAAATTGCTGAGGTTGGTCTCAAACTTGTGATCCTCCTGCCTCAGCCTCCTGGGTTGCTGGGATTTCAGGCATGAACCACCAAGCCCATTGATAAGTGGAATCGTGAATGAAGATTTATGATTTCTCTATCTTGCATCATTTCTAGATCAGACCCCTTCTTCCTTTGCCCCTGACCCCTGGTTCAGTGTGGCACAATGGGGCTGATGCAGTCCCTGTGGGTGTGGTCAGATGACCTGTCCTGGCCAATGAGAGAAGCCCATTCTCCTAAGGTCTATGATTCCTTCAGCCTTGGGCCCATGAGCCAAGCTGGAGCAGTGAAACTCAAGCCCTGGGACTATTGGAGGTTCTGCATGTTGTGGTGGAGTA